CAGGATGGTATGACGGCTGGGAGTTTGCTGCTTTCACAACACTGGTACATATGGGGAAGTTACACTCATATAAAATAGAACATCTGCCTTCTTAATCCATTGATTCAACTGTGTGAAGACTGGGGAGCTGTGCTGACTCACTGCTGTTTCAGCTGTCATTTCTCAGCCGTTTGTTTTTCATAGCTTTGCTCACTGAGATTCGTACTTCATCCCCAAAGATACACAATTCTTTGCCACCCTGCACATACTCACCTTGCAACAACTCTGGGCATCTGTGGCACTGCCCATGGACATGCCTCATGACCTGGAGCAAGTGGGTCTGAGGAAAATCAGACGCTAGGGCAGAAGGCATTGGTAATGAATGCCAGAGCTGCCTCACTCCAGGTGACAGGGTGAAGCTCCTGCCTGATACATCTAGAGTGTTCCATCATTTCCAGGTGGATTCGCCAGTCTTTCTGTGAAATTTTCACTGCCTTTTGGTGAAATGTGGCCCTGTCGTGGTGCCCAGAGGGCATAGCAGGCCTGCGACTGATCATGGCTTTACCAGCGAAGGCCGTCTGCATGAAGCTAACAGGTGAGCTGAGTGGCTGCGATGCAAAATAGTCGCGGAAACAATTCCTGTAGCCTCACCCTGGTGACCCCACCTATTTTAATGAACACCGCAATATTTCCAGAGTCTGCACTGAAGTTGCCGGGAACCCGTGTTTTTATTGCTTGCGAGATGGATTGTCGGAACTTGCACCATTCGCAAGCAAATTTCTTTACCAGGAAACTTACACTCGGCTCCCTCTGCCGGTGAGTGCTTTAGCATTGCAACGTTCGTGTTGAGGAAATTGTATTAAATGAGCCTTCAGTCCAAAGGAAGAAGATAAACTTGGTTTTGCACATAAGAGAGAAAAGCAAGGCCCGATTCCTTACCACAGAATTAAAGGATAAACAAAATAGGAGTCAAAAAAAAAAGGAAAAGAGTCCTTTGCAGCGTTGGGTGGTTAATCAAGCAATGGTCCTATTCCTTTAGTGACACCAGACTTGAGCACTACAGACTCTGACTGCAGCAATGCAAATTACTGATTCGATTCTGCAGTTGCAAAATACATTAACTACTTAATTGTTCTGTGATCTATGAAAACTCCTCTGCCTCTGGCATAAGTTGGTGAATTAAACTAAGATCTGTCTTCCAGCAAACCATCTGATGTTTGAATTCCATTCTAGCAGCTCCATTTTCAAGTGTCCTGTTTATTTTGGTCAGAAGTCTTCCCTTGGAGGAAGCTGCAATAAATTAATCTGGGCTCAGCTATACACTGAAAATGTGACGATATTTCTGTTTGTGAGCGATTGCTCGTTATTTCCTGTTTCCTACATTACATCGGTAACCATACTTCAAACAATACTTCAATCTATACTATAAAGCTCTTTGGGATGCCCCATGAATCTGAAAGGTGCTATATAAATGCAAGTTTTTTTTTGTGCCCGATGTCATCCAGTTTGACAATATTATTAAAAACTTGCAAGTTTTGTGTCTATTTATGATTAGTTATGTGACACTTACTACAAAGTGTCATTGAAGTAATCAAAGTAGATATCTGTGGATTTTTCCTCCTCATCTCAGATTTGGCAACACATAAATTTGGAAATACTATGCAGTTGTTTTGTTTTGGAAGACAGAATTTCAGCCATTACCACAAAATCTCCACAGTTTAGGTTAGCCACCTGAGTTGTGGCACCATTTTAATTGTCTTGATTCTTTCAGTTCAAATGACCTAATAGTCTGGAAATGTCAGCAGCTTTGTCCAGGATAGATAACAGGAACCAATGAATATAATATATTTGGATTTCCAAAAGGCATTTGTTAAGATACCACATATTAAGATACCTAATAAGAAAAGAGCCCATGGTAGTGTGGTTAGTATATAATAGAAGACAGAGAGGTGGGATAAGGGGGCATATTTAGGATAGCAACCTGTAACTATGTCCTACAGGGATTAGTGCTGGGGCCACAATGGGAAAATATGAGGCTATTTACTTTTAACAGGAAGAAAAGAGGAGCTGAATATTATTTAGAGAAAGACTGCAGAAAGCTGCAACTCAGAAAACTGACGCTGCTTCGTACATGAATCACAAAAAGCTAGCAGGGTAATGGGGAAGGCAAATAGCCTATTGGTCCTTATTTCAAAGGGAATAGAGTGTAAAAATAAGGAGGTCTTACTAAAATTATACATTATAAATTATACTGGTCAGACCACCCATAGAAGGCTGTGGACAGTTTTGGTCCCATTATCTAAGAAAAAAAATACTATCATTGGAGGGAGTCAAGAGAAAGTTCACTAGGTTGATCCCAGGAATGGAGGGTTTTTTTTAATGAGGAAAGATTGAGTAGGTTGGCCCTATTTTCATTGGTGTTTAAATTCTTAAGGGGTTTTACAGGGTTGATGTATAAAGATTGTTTCACCTTGAGGGAGAGTCTAGGACTAGACAGTATAATCTTTGAGAAAGGGACCATCCATTTAAGACAGAGATGAGGAGGATTTTCTTTTTTCGGGGTAGTGAATCTGTAGAATTCTTTACCGCGGAGGAACATTGAGGCTTGACATTAAGAATATTCAAAGCTGCAATAGCAGGAGAATCGAGGTTTAAAGGGGAAAGGCAGAAAAGTAGAATTGAGGATTATTAGATCAGCCATGATCTCATTAAATGGCTAAGCAGACTCAATGGACTGAATGGTTTATACTTCTGTTCCTGTGTCTTGTTGTCTTTTCATTTATATGTAATGAGAAGTATGATGATGAAAAACATTTTCAAGTTGTCCACATATGTAGCGTGGTAACAAGGTGTAGAGCTGGATGAACACAGCAGGCCAAGCAGCATCAGAGGAGCAGGAAGGCTGATGTTTCGGGCCTAGACCCTTCTTCAGAAAGCGTACTTTGTAACGTTGAAATCAATTTCAAAAGTACTGCAATTTTTTGTATTTAAGATGTTTTGCAATATTTAAGGTGTTTTTGCTGAAACATATTAGAACTTCCCATAAATTATATTCATTAATATGGGTGTGTAATAACATGTTCTCACATGTGTTTAGGTACAGTAATTATTTAGTAGTAAATCATAGTTTGCCAATAACACTCTCAAGTTTATTTATTAGTAATAAATGTGATTTTTGCCTTGAAATTTGTAGCAAGATATTGTTTGCAAAGCAGCAGTAAGATCAAGAATACACATTGTAAAATTGTTGTATGCTTCAATCAGTGGTCACACAATGGGAGTTCTGTACACTTAAATGCATAAACAACAATAAACACTGTTAAAATCAGCATCATTGCTAATTAGCATTGGTGTAAATCACGTTTTTAACTTCAACATCAAACCTGTCATTTGTTCTTTACATTCATTGAGTTTTTCAGTTAAGTCAGAGGTTGCTTCTCCTACAGTGAAGTTTCTCCAGGAAACAGCTCATTTTCCATTAATGTCATTCTTGAGAACACAGCACAGCAGGGATCATTCAGTGCAGACCTGATAGGTAACCTGTCTGCGAATATAAGCAAAGCGGGGACTGCCAGGAATGTAGAATGGCTCAAAGGTGTACTGTCTGTGTATATGGTACTGTGCTATCCAGCAATTCTTGCAGGTACGAGGCTGCTTAAGTCAGACTATTTGTGTCCTAAGGCTTCCATCCCATTACTGTACAGATACTCCTTCAATCGAGGACAATTCTCTGTGTTTCAACCATCTGAAGGAGAAAACAGACAGCAATGCTGACTTCTAGAGTTCTTCCACAATCCTCAGCCTTCTGCATGTCGCTGGTAGTAGTTTGTGTCTTCAGTATGTCATTAGTCAACTTGTATTCCTTCTGCCCAATGGTAGTGATGTGGCTGCTTTCTGAGTATGCAAGATAAACATCTCACAACTGCAGTCACATTCTACAGGGTGATTGTGAGCTCCATTAATGATGACAAAATATGGTGCCCAGATAGTGGACTTTTTAAGAAAGTATGAAAGCTCTTGAAGTTGAAACCATTTGTACTCAGAGTTGAAAACAGCCTCTAAAAGCTGGAGCTGTTCTCCTCCCCACACTAACGGTAGTCTCCTGTTGGCAGGCCCAACTTAGTAACTCAAATAAAAGCAAAGCACTGCAGCTACTGGAGATCTGAAATAAAAACAGAATGTTCTGGAGAAACTCAGCAGAATTGTCAGCATACATAGACAAGAAAACAGAGTCAATGTTTAAGCCTGATAGGACTCTTCTTTGGATGGAGACTTGAAACATAAACTCTATTTTTCTCTCCTCAGATGTTGTCAGACCTGCTGACTCAGGTTTGATTCCACCCTTGGGCGACTGTCTGTGCAGAGTTTGCACATTCTCCCTGTGTTTGTGCGGGTTTCATCCAAGTGCTCCGGTTTCCTCCCACAGTCCAAAGACATGTAGGTTAGGTGAATTGGCCATGCTATATTTCCCTGTAGTGTCTAGGGATATGTAGACTAGGTGGATTAGCCATGGGAAATGCAGGGAATAGGATAGGGGTCTAGGTAGGATGCAGTTCAGAGGGTCAGAGCAGACTCAATAGGCTGAATGGCCTCTTCCTGCACTGTAGGGATTCTATGTTTCAGAGATAGTAGGAACTGCCGATGCTGGAGAATCTGAGATAACAAGGTGTAGAGCTTGGCCTGCTGTGTTCATTCAGCTCTACACCTTGTTATATCAGGGATTCTATGTTACCTCTTTACTAGGATTAATACTTTTCAGATAGAAATTCACCAACACGTTTGGATTGCTGGTTCTTTTTGCCACATTTTGGCCCCCTTTACTCTCCAATTCATAACTACTGATCTTCAATGCAATCTTGTTTATGTAGCAAAGTGAAACCAGTATGTAAAATCACAAAAGCAAAACAAAAGTGTTGGCTTTTGAAGTTTAGTTTCATGGTAGCTTTTAGGCCCATATCCAATAATTTCTTTCATGGAGGCAGTTCACTAACTTTTATATTTTTTCTATCTTCTGCATGAAGGAGAAGAGCACGAAGAGGGGATGTGACGCATACACATTACCACTCCCAAGTTTACCTGGCTTCTAATTGGCTGAAGTTTCACTTAGCAATTGATCGCTATGCACTGTACCCTCGATCGGAACCATTTATTGATCACCTGCTTGAAGACCTGGCTGTTGTTGACATCAGTGAAGTTGGTAAGGTCTCTTAAAAGTAGACAAAGCCGCTGCAATTGGTTTGCATTGGTGCAAACCCACATGATGGCCTCCTGGGGCCTTGTGTCACAGTACATAGGGTAGACAGCAAAGACTCAGGCCTTTCAGCTGAGCTGATCTTTTTACTTAATGAGAGATGAAAAACAGATGAAAATGTGTTGGACATGGTTCAGAGCTGGTTTATGGGATTGATAAATGCTAATTCTGTTTGATGAGTGGGTTGCCTTATGATACATGCTGGGCTAATTTCCAATGGAGTTTAGAAGAGTGAGAGGTGACTTGTTGACGTATATAAAATCCTAAATGATCTTGACAAAGTAAGACCGTGGAAATTATGTTTCCTCTTGTGAATCAAGAACTAGGGGCGATAGTAAGAACTGCTGATGCCGCAGTCAGAGATAACACAGTGTGGAGCTGGAGGAACACAGCAGGCCAGGCAGCATCAGAGGAGC